GGGGGGCTGCAGTCGGGTGCGGCCGCCTGTGCTCCTCCTGGGTGCGCCGGGCTGGAGGTCTGCGTTTGGGGGAGGGGAGGGGAAGGGGGGAAAGCTCTTTTGTGCTTAAAATTACAGATGGGAAGGGGTTTTGTCCCTATGTGTTGGCAAACTGATTATAACTGCAGTTATACCGTATTTAATTTCTTTTTCACACTTACAAGTAGTTGTAGTAGCTTATCCTGGTTTACCAAAGTGCCTCCCTGTGCATCACGTGAGATAAATGCATGAGCTGAGATGAACACGTACAGCAGTAGCTACAATCTGAACAGCGTGCTTGCTGTCTTTCAGGTGGGTCTCTAAATTTCATGTTTACATTAATGCGCATCCTTTTCTAGGGTCTTGTTCTGGGAGTCTACTCAGGTGAAAAGGATGAAGGCGCTGCCCAGTTCACTAATGCAGGAGATGCTTTTGATAGACTTGTGTCTGGAAAGCTGAGAGAACTTCTGTCCGTGTAAGTGCGTGATAAGCTTCTGAAATGGATTAAAGTACCTACAAACACCAGTAAGAATGATCTTTTTTTGTCATTATTAGTGTTTGTATCCATACCACTTCTCAGGCTGGTATTTGCTTCTACCAGGCCAAGCAGTTTGGAGGGGAACTCCCATGGAAAAAACACGGAGCAAACAGATGCAAAATGATCCTGGGAACTGCCCCTTTCTGTGAATCGGCACTGAGCCAGATGTCCTGGTGCAGTGTTGAGGAGCACTGCGTGGCTGTGGAGTGAACGTAGTGCCGTAAGATTTATCACCAATAAGGACTTCTTTATTGAAAGAATCTTTTTGCGTCCTAGATGTGGGCCACCTTTGAAGAAAGGCAAAACACGCATATTCCATGGTTTGCATCAGGTATGAGCTTTGGATTTTCATGTGCATATTGATGAACTTGTGAGGTTTGCCCTTGCATCTTATTTTAAGCTGAGTTCACTGCTGTGCTTGTATAAATGCTCGGCTATTCTTCCCCCCCACCCCCCTCTCAAAAAAAGATGTGTTTCATATTGAAGCCTTCTGTTCTGCCCTCCCCATGTTTGCATGCCCTTTTGCTCAATCCTGTACTCCCTCCGCTGTGCTGCAAGCCGAGAAGATGTAAACAAGGCTGCTCCTAAGGTGGTATGCTCTGAATAACTGCTTACGGAATGAGATGAAGCACTACTGTTTTGGATCAGGATTCTACTGTGCCCTCTGTTCAGGAGGAGTGAGTGCAGGAGTGTGTACCGATATGTGCAAAGGCCTTCCAGATGTGACAGGTCTAACATACGTAGTCCCATCATAGGCTTTAATCAGAGCTTTTAAAGTCATGTGCTTGAAACTTCTGAAAACAAGACGTGGGACTGTTCTTCAAGCAGGACTTTTGTCTGCACAGACATGCCTTTTGTCTGCGCGTACCCTGCAAAGGTATGAAAAGGGGATTCATCTGCTTAAAGTTAGGCTTTTGGTGCCGTTTGAGAAGCCCTAATACACCTAATGCGCCTATGTGGAATTGGCAAATATGGTAGGATTCGTGGCTTTTTGGAGTAGCAGCTAGAGGCTAGGCAGACATGTGATGTGACACTAAGGTGTTCCTGTATAAGTAACTGAATCTTACGTTAGGGCTATTTAAATGATTTTAAATAAATCGATTTGTAGCGAGTATCACTTACCATGTTAAATTCCTGTGTGGAGACTCCAGACAGGTGACATTGGACTCGGTAGAAAAGCTTTTGGAAATTTCATGGAAGTTGAGTCCCCCGAAGGTCCCATTATCCCAGTTCTGCGTACAGGATGGCCTCTGAAGTGAGTAGCAGATATCTGCAAGAGAATACAGTAGAATTTGGCCTTACACAGTATTCTAGGTGTGTAAAATAATGATAACTAAAAAAATGTTAACCTGAATCACTGATCTTCTGGAAAGTTTCAGCATCTTGTGTGCTGGAAAAGTTTACTATGGTGTAGCAGTGTGAAAGGTGATTGTTAGAATCTGACAGAGCAGCTATTTGTGATGGAAGGGAAAGCCCAAGATTAACTAACATTTTTCTACAGAGCGATGAGAAGTGTGTTCACATACATATCCTTGAGTTTTATACAAATTTGACTTCATTCTTAGAAGGCTCCTTTGATCTTTGTTATTTCTTCCTTTTTGCCTTCCGCTTGCAGCTTGTAAGGCAAGCATTTAGTCTGCTGTGCTACATTGCTTTCCTGAGTTCTGTCACGCTCTACCCCTGTGCAGCTTTGGTTTTTTACCTGGCAAATTGTGCCAGCTCAGTTTCTGGGCTGAGCTAATAGGCTTCAAAGTGATTTTATTTCCTTGAACATAGTACTGTGCCAAAAAAGGTTACGCTTCTCCAGCTCAGTTCTGGCCTTTGTACAGCTGGAAAGCTGGATCTGTTTTCAAAGGACTCTTAGACCTGCCCTTGAAAGTGTCAAGTTCTCCATGTGTTGAGCATAATGCCCCATCTGCTGCAATACACATCATTAACTGGACAACAGAACAACTGGGTTGCATGCCTGTGGCAAATGATTGGGAGTGCAAGACAGCAGCACCATACTGACACCCCTAATGTAGAAACGTGCGTAACACAGAGAAAGTACTGGATGAGTTTTAACGCTGTGCTTGGTTTGATTGGGAAAGTAAGGTCTTTTTAACAACTCTCTGCTGTGGCTGTAACAATGAGGAAAGTGAATCCGTTTATGTGTCGGCTTCATATAGGACTTTCCGAGTGTGGTTGTAGTTGGCTTGGGTAAGAAGAATGCTGGAGTAAATGACCAAGAAAACTGGAATGAAGACAAGGAAAATATTCGTGCAGCTATTGCAGGTTAACTGTTTTACATTTTCTTAAGCATTTTGTCTGTTGCAATAGTGCAGCATGTTCCACTTCTGAAGAGTGGTTCTAGATATGATTTTGTTTTGAAATGCAAACCTACTGCATGGTTTGGTAAATGCATTTACTTGTCACTGGTATTCATGAAGTTTTGCCTTGGTGAGGAAAAATTACAGGTAAATCAGTCTGCAGTGTGATATTGAAAAGGCACTTGTGTAATTACTACTATTTTGAAGCATGAGAGCATCACTGATTGACTTTATGCTCATGCTGTACTTAAGTATGCATGTATATTTACTTTCGCCACTTAGTTTGTAACTGAGATGTTTGTGTGTATAAACTGGTACCTTTCACAACATCAGCAGCATGATTCAGTATGTTACCTGTTGTAGGCAGAGGAGGCCTCTCTACCTTAATCAGGGACGACTGCTGCATATAAGTGTCTATAAAACAAGAATAAAAAGAGTTCTCGCTGCAGAGTTATAGCCTGCGGCTGGAGGTCAGTCACACATGCATGACAGCTGTATGTCCAAAGTGCTAGCCCGTGTTGTCTCACCAGCTGCCAAAACTTTGTTAAATTATTGGGTAGAAAATAGAATTTATGGAATATTTTTTGTTCATTTCTTTATAGAAATGTGTATAAACTCATTTGGAAGAAAACAGCAGTCATATATTCCTAGCAAAAAACTAAATTACAGCATATTTCTGATACCTGTAGATAGTCATAATCCACAGCACTCCAGAATGACAGAGCTTTTATTTGATATAAAGGAATTGGAACAACTGTGGACTTCTGGTTTTATTCTTGTGAAATGTCTTAATCGTTACAATTCATCAAGTAATATTTTTAGTCAAAAATTGTCGGTATATGGTCATTAGCATTTTTAATTATTCTACTGCACGATCTTTTAAATCGATTTACTTAGAAACTTGGATAGCTTGAGTTAAAATCATTTTTTCCTTAAATGAAACATTGATCACCTCAGATACCTGTTCTATGTGATACTCAGCCTACCAGTTCTGTATTTTTCAGTTGGTTGTAGACAGATCCAAGATCTGGAGATCCCTTGTGTTGAAGTAGACCCCTGTGGAGATGCTCAAGCGGCTGCAGAAGGCGCTGTCCTTGGATTGCATGAATATAATGAGCTAAAGCAAAAAAAGAAACCTGTAGTTACTCCTCAGCTTCATGGAAGGTGATGGCAAAAGGAAAGCTTGCCTATTTATTTATCTGTTTGTTTATTCGCAAAACTGTGTGCATACTTGTGCATGAGGAAAACACAAAACTGAAAGACTAGGGCTAGCAGCAATATCCCTCTCAAATCCTCCTACTTCTTTGAATTTCCTGAAGTATTTTACATCTCAAGTATATCTATAGCGTTTGCTCCATGTGTTTTGTTAGAATGCTGTGTTCTGAGGTTAAGGGTAAATGCACCTTCATAGAACAGAAGGCACTGGATAAAAATAAAAATTTACTTGAAGCATAGTTGTGACATAAAGGAACTTTTGATATTGGATGCCAAAATTGTGGAGCAGAGGTATTTCAGACTCCATAAATTAATAAATCCTTTTGAGAATCAGGAAATGCTATTTGACACCAGCCCATGCCATGATGGATAGGTTTTCCATAGTTCATTTGTCATCTTTTCTTTCACAGAACATAATGCAGGAAGAGAATCTTGGGTGCTTCTGGCCTCTAAATAGACATCACTGTTAACTTGAGAGCAGAAAGCGGTATCAGAGCTTTTGGTTCCAGAACAAAGTTTTATTAATCCCCTTCTACAGTGTCAGAGTGGACTTTGGACTTTCCACATAGGATATTCTGTCGTGCAGAGGAGCAGTATTTCTCATATGTTCCTTATGCGGGAACAAGTCCTTCCTTACGAGGAAGTTAGTGAAATAAAATAAAAACCTCTCAATTTAAGCATGTCTTGATAAGCTACATGTGGTACTCTTCCCATCTGGTAACACAGAAGATAGTTTGGGGGCTGATGATATTAAATAAACTTTTCCTGAAAGTATAGATGGTCCAATGACTACTTACGACACTGGAAGTAATTTTTGTGTATAATAATTCAGGTTGGAAAGGACCTCTGGAAGTCATCTAGTCTGGCTTCAACTTGGATTAGGGATAACCTGGAAGTTACATACAACTTTAAAGCTCGATCAGGCCTTTGTTTAGTCCAGTTTTGAATATCTCCTGAGACAGAAATTCCCTAACTCAGTGGCCCATCTGTTCTAGTGCTTAATGGAGCCCATGGTGAATTTTCTTTTGTCCTATTGCAGTTTCCCTTGCTGAATCTTACCCTTACTGTGTAACTCTGAGATGTGTCTGTCTTCGTCTTCTCTAGAAACCCTATTTAAAGGTAGAACAAAGACAGTAACTGGATCTTTCCTAAATTTTTCTTCTCTAGGTGAAACAAATCCAATTCTCTTAGCTTCTCCTCATATGCCATGTGCTGCAGCTCCTTGCCCCTCTTAGGGGCCCTCCTTTGGACTTTCTCCAGTATATCAGTATATGTTTTGTATTCAGGAACTCAAAAGTAGCCAGGTGCAGCCTCACAAATACCAAGGAGGTAAATAATTATTTCCCTTAACATGCAGGCTATGCTGTAATCCAATCCAGTACATGGCTGGCCTTTGTCACCGCAGTAATGTGCTGCTTACTCCTGTACAACTCGTCCAGCAGGATCCCCAGGTTCTTTTCTGCAACTTTGCGTTCTGCCTAGTTGGTGTCCAGCCTGACTTGCTATTCTTTCCCAGGTACAGGACTTTACACCAGTCTTTGTTAAACTTCACGGTGTTCCCTTTGGTGCATTCCTCCAGCTTGCCAGGGCCCCTATGAATGGTGGCCCTACCTTCCCCATTGCAGCTGCTCCCTGCAATGTGGTGCTGTCCATGAACTTCTGTTCTACAGTCCAAGTTGCTGATGAAGGTATCAGCCCCAGTATCAACCCTCGAGGAACAGCACACATAACTAACTGCCAGCTGGACCGTTCAGCTGTTGTCTGCTATCTTCTGAGCCCAACAGTTCTTCCAGTTTTTCACCCATTTTGTAGTCTAGCTCTCCAGTTCACATTTTCTCAATTTGTCTGCAAGGATTCTGTGAAAACCTTGCTAAAGCCAAGGTAAATGACATCCACTGTGGTCCTCTGTGCCAACTGTCTCATCCTAATAGTCAGTCAAGTTGGTCGGTGTGATTTGTGCCAAATTAATCTATGATGACTGTTCCCACTGACCATCTTGTCCTTCATGTACCTGGAAATTGCTTCCAAGATGACTTTCTACATAAACTTTTAGGGGATTAGTCTAGGATAAATGCTTCGCCGTTCCCTATATCCTCCTTGCCTTCATAAAGATGAGGACTTGCCCTTTTCCAGTAATCGGACCACATCCAGCTACCATGACCTTTCAAACTGAAAGAGCCTAGGCTTGCAGTGATGCCAGCCGGGTCCGTCAGCACCCTCAGATATATACCCTGCCTCCTACTGAGGACTTGTGTATGTCCGGCTTCCTTCAGCAGTCCTAAGTCTGTCTTCCTCTGCCATGGGTAGTACATTTCTTGCCCAAACTGTTACTGAGCACAAAGAGCTGGGGAATCTGAAAGCAGACCTTAATAATTTTTAAGACTGATGCAAAGCAGGCATTGAGAACTTCGGTCTTCTCAGTGTTCATTAGATTGCCTACCCCGTTTAGCAAGGGGACAGCGTTATCCCTGACCTTCCTTTTGCTGATGATGTCCCTGTTGAAGTCCTCTTGAATCCCAGTGTCAGCTGAGATTTGGCTTCTTAATTCCATAGTCTTCTCAGTGTTCACTAGATTGCCTACCCCGTTTAGCAATGGGACAGCATTATCCCTGACCTTCCTTTTGCTGATGATGTCTCTGTTGAAGTCCTCTTGTTGCCTTTCCCACTCCTTGCCAGTTTCAGTGTCAGCTGAGATTTGGCTTCTTAATTCCATCCCTCCATTTCCAGGCAATATTTCTATATTCCTCCTGGATTCCTTCTTCACTGTGTTGCTCTTCTGAGAGGCGGAATCCAGCTTAATGCCCTGCTTCATGATCTCTTTTAAAGCAAATAAGCCTTTCAGTTCTGTCTCAGTAAAATGAAAAGTTTTGTACTGATAATGTTGCAAAGTAACCAAAGAGACATCCCCATTTCCTATGCAGGCAGCTCTTTGAACGTTTGCTCTGTCATTTGTTAGTGAAATGCCTTGAGTGCACTGTGAAATGAGATCCAAATTCCACTCTTATTATGTAATCATATTTCAGTAAAGTGAAAAACAGAATTGCAGGCTTTATATGGTAAATAAAAACTTTCAGGGCTGTTACAATTAATGCAATTACAAATTTTGGAAGGGATATTAAACCATGTGCTTAAGGATTTAAGCCCCTCTCTGACTAGTAAGGATTAGGACAAGACCTCATGTATTGGATAGATAATTTTACATCTGTCTGCTCTAGGATTCTTCTAGCTTTCTGTGAAGCATTTGGCACTAACTAGAACCAGGGATGAGCTACTAGACTAGATGCACCTTGGATATCATCCTAAATTCCTCATAGTAAGATTACTGTGACATTCTTAATTGCCCCAAATTAATGATACCGCATTTTCAAACAGGAGAGAACAGATGGATGCTGACATCATCTTATTTTTGCAAATGTTTATGGTCCTGATTATTGTATGGTGTCGTTTAGTGCTGAAAGTGAAGCCTGGCAAAAAGGTGTTACCTACGCTGAGGGTCAGAACCTTGCTCGGTACCTTATGGAGGCTCCAGCTAATTATATAACTCCAATCAAATTCGCCGAACATATTGAACAAAAGCTTAGAAGTTTCAGCAATGTGAAGGTCCATATAAGGTAAATCCCATTTAAATTATTTCTCTATAGGGTAAGATACCTTCCAGGCTATTCAGATCTGCAGCGGGCTCTCATTTTCACTCTGCCACTTCAGATGACAAGAACAGGGGAAGTCTTTGGCAAGAAGGTATGAGGGGTGCCCAGACTGCAAGCTACTCTGTGTTAGAAGGTGAGCTTCTGGTTTGCAGAGTAAGCAAGTTACTGGACGCAATAAAACTATTAACTGTCAATTAATCATGCAGTCAATTACCGCTTAATTGACACATGTGCTGTGAAAGAGGAAGCCTGATGAAGACTCAGTGAATAGAGGGCAAATACTAAGTACCTTTTTTCTAGTACCTTTTGGGTTTTTCCAAAGTGGATTTTATACATACTTTTGCATTTTTATTTGGATGTGGTAATTAAACATCCGTCATTTATTGCTGTTATTATTGGGGCTTTTTTTTTTTTAAACTTTTAAAAATGTTGAGATGGAGTCGTAAAAGCCCTTGCAATTGAATTTGCGCAGCTAATGCTTCTTGCCTTGGCATTTCAGGTTACTGCAGTTCAGTGAAAGTGGGCTAACTGGTTATGCAGGTGTTGGAGGCCATTTTGTTGAAAAGCAAAAGATTGAGGGAAATTAACTTTGCGTGTGGTTAACCATCTTCATAGCAGGAAGCTAAACTGTAACCTGCTGCAGTACTGTTGCTGCCTATGCCTTCAGAGACTACGGCCTGATGGGCAAGTGAAATTTTAATGTATCTGATGCAGAAAGTGTAGACTGGTGGTTGTTTGGTTTGTTGTTGGATATTTTAAACAAGGCAAAACAAAAACCAAGCAGCAACTTTGAGGCAGTATTTTTCTGTTTCACAAAAAAAGTAATAATGGTTGGATTTAAATGACGGTCTCCAAAATAACTAATTAAAATCAAATTAATAGTTTGTGTACAAACCTTCAAGAATTGTGATCTCTTAGAACAAACAAAATCACCTTAGTCAAAGTATCCAATTAAAAAAAAAAAAAAAAATTTAACAACAAAACACTAATCTCCCAAGTTAAATCTTTGTATGCATGCCATTACTGGCTGTACCAGACACCCGAACCGCCCATCTTTCTGGAGATTCACTATTTAGGTGGTGCTAATACAAATGACTCCCCATTGGTATTTGTAGGAAAAGGAGTTACATTTGACAGGTATGTATGCTAATATTTTAATGACTAAAGGGGGGGGAAATGCCTTCCTGCTATTCGTGTTCAGTGGGGAGAGGGTTTTTCTTTGCTCAGCACATCTTTCAGTGCCATTCCAGTGAACTTGCCCTGTAGAGTAGACTCTGCTGCCTTTTCTGGGGAGAAGACATGACAAGCTTGAGTGATTGGACAAAGTAGAAATTTATATGCTCCTGTCTTGTAAGGGGAAAATGCAAGTTCAAGGGAAAAGAAAAAAGAGCACTTGCCTTTTTTTTTTTTTTTTTTTTTTTTCTTTTGGCCTGAGGAAAGACTTTACATGTTTAGAATTGCAGTCTGTTGCTGGACATAGATGTCCATGATCTAGAGATCATGCTTAAGGAAAGAGAAAATTTTTCATTCTTTGCAGCAGTTCCTTAGAACTGCTTTTTGTGTTATATGACTACTGAAGAATTTATTGGACTGTTCCCCTTCCGTATGCTAATTTTACCAAGTGTACTATTTTGTTCTTGTGTTGGGCTCCTTCACTATTATGAAGATCATTGTGTTAGTCCACTGGATTACTTGGGTTTTTATGGCATCTTAATTATGAGGAAGGAATTCATGGACATATTTTATCTGAAATGAAAACCCAGATACCTTGCTTTCAGTATGCTTGTCAGGGTGCTGCAGGAATATTTGAAAACGCATTCACGGTATTAGGTGCTAAACATAATGATGGACAGACTATTATCAATATTCTGATGAATATTTGAACCTTTGAACTCCCACATGTTGGATGAGGTTTGTTCTGTTTATTGCAGTGGTGGCATTTCACTGAAGCCGTCATCTGGTATGGATGCGATGCGAGCAGATATGGGAGGGGCAGCAACTGTCTGTTCAGCCATTGTGACAGCAGCAGCTTTAAATCTACCTCTTAACATAATTGGTAAGTATGTTTGTGTAAGAATCCAAAAATCTTAACTTTACAAGATTTCTTTCTGACAAAGTCATTTTCTAGTACCATCAGTGGTAACAGTCTCACAGAAATGCCATGGACTCTTGCAGACTTACTTGTCTCATTCTGTTGCTCAGCTTCTCTTCCATTTTTACTTGCTTATCAAAAATGACTAGCTTTGCTTTTATAAATATTTCAACACTGAATTAAAATTTTGAAGGCATGTTTTTTAGATCCTAGGTGAGAAATGACTGTCAGTAAAGTTACTTTCAACAACTTTTTTTCTGAAGTTCTGATCCTTCATGACAAGAAGGAATGTGGATACTTGTATAAGAAGTATAAAAAAACAAAAAGGAGTTAGCTGAGCTACCTTACATGAGTATTTGCCACAGCTGAACAGGAAGAGGGATCAGCTGTTGTTTCTTTAGGTGATGATCTCAGCAGAAATCTAAAACAAACAAACAAACAAACCCTAGTCTGCTGATAATATTTTTGAGAAATGTTGCTTTTTTTTCCTGCAAAAATGTTGCACAGCTAAAATTAAATGAGCTGATTCGGGAACTGTGGCAAAACCAGTTGGTGATGACATGTAGTCTGTTCTAGGAGAAGTTTTCTGCTTGAGAACCTTTACTTTCAGGAAATTAGTATTTTAGTCACTTCGATGCTTCAACCAGTAGAGGGCAGCGAAACACACAGCCTCATAACATTCCTTACCTAAAAGTATGCCACCGGAACGGCTATGTCAGCGGAGCAAAAGGCTGTGTACATAATTCCACTGAAAAGTTGTGGTTTGCAGTTCACTCACTCCTTGTGCCGGCAGCAGGTTTCCCCTAGGAATGGTGGGGTGCGTTTCATTCCATTATCCCATTCATAGTTGGAGTTTTGATGCTGACACTCTCTTTTTTTTGCTCATTTCTGTTTGCTCTTCTTATGCTTGGAGCTTTATGGTGAGTCATTGGACCCTGCTTACAATGTTTATTTACAGTGAGCAGAGCTTGAATGGCTCGTTGTTAATTTGGGAAGTTTTTAATTTCAGAAAGAAAAATTCCTTTACATGTGATTAATTACTCATATACGGAAGACACAAAGATAATATTTGTTGTACCTCCTATTTCACTTGCCCTGGCATAAAGTAGAAGTAAATCCTAGTGGTAAAGTAGTGTAGGTGAGAGAATGCGGCGGTGCAACATGCAGAGGAATTTCCCAAATTGAAAACTGGACCATGTATCTTTTTCAGTAACCAGGAGAATTTGGATTTTGAGCATAACATCAAGATGAGAATAGTACTGTTTCCTTAAGGAGGCATTTGGGGTTTTTTCTAAGTATTGGTGTTTACATCTTTTATAAGAAAGAAACTAGTCATGCACTTTTCTTTTTCTCTCTGAGGTTTGGCACCCCTCTGTGAAAATATGCCCAGTGGTAAGGCAAACAAGCCTGGGGATGTCGTCAGAGCCAAGAATGGAAAAACAATACAGGTATGCATGTGAAACTTGGATTTTGAATACTTTTAGTGAGTTGGTTTAATCAATCAAGTTACATGACTGCAGTCTGAGTAATGTTTGAAAAAACCCTTTAAAAAGATAAACAGTGCAAATATACTGTTTGTAAAATGTAAAAAGTATGTTATTAATTAAAATTGCTATCATAGGATTCTTTCAAATATAAATATAGATTGCAGAGATCAGACATGTTTTGTAAGTTGCTAGGAAAAACTGAAAAATACGGTAATTTACTAACCACACTAGAAAATCTTGTTTTAGCACAAGTTTGTTACAGTGCTCATAAATGTAGGTTCTTGGTCAGACACATTAAATGCTTCCAGCAGACCCTCCAGGACACTTCCCTGCTATTTGGAGTGAGACATAAGACTCTTAGT